CTAGGATTGTTTCATATGATTGTTTAGTTTTAAGGCCATTTTGTGAATATATAGTTTATGTTACTAATGTATGTTATCATTTTAGGTTTGGTATTGACCCATGTGTCAATTCTTTCATCCGGGCAACTTGGCAAGCATACTACATGGGGCCTTGGAAGAGTTGGAGGGCGGTTCCTGATGAATGGAGAGAGGCATGGTGGCATACGTTTGTGGTAAGTCACTTACTCTTTTGTTTTTTTTTTTTAACATTTTATATGTCACTTATATCTATTAAAATCACTTACTGTTTAGTTTTCTTTTGTAGCAAAATTTTTATTGGAACTCTGAGTTTAATGACTTAGTCTACGCACTGTGGAAGAAAGAAATCTGGACATCTATTGGTGAAAGGATAAACAAGAAGAAGAGGCAACACAAGAAGCCAAAGTACATCAATGATGACGACTGGACAATCTTGTTGGAGCATTGGGCGACAAGAAGGCTGCAAAATCTCGCAAGTCTGATCCTGTGGGTAAAGGGTACCACAAGCATAATGCAGGACCTAGGTGTATTTCAAGGATAGAGTATAACATGGTATATTTCCATGTCTATACTTATAAATATTTTGCTCTTCTAATCTTGTTTAAATTTTTTTTTTTTTTTTTTTAGCAGATGGTTGCCTCTGGTACTAATGAACGTCCATCATACATTGACCTAGTCAGGGCCACACACACCTGATCAGATAGGACTTTTATTGACTACCGTGCTGAAGAGCTGGTTACTCAAGCAGAGATAGAAGCCACACAGCTCTCCAACACTGATGGATCACCCGAGAGTCCAAGTACATCATTTTCTCCTGATCGCCTCAAGATAAACAAAGCTTATCTCAAGGTATTTTAACTTCAGATTTAAATTCTATTAATTATTTTATGTTCTGATTGTATGTGAAATTATATATGACTTAGAGCTGCTTAAGAATGTTATTTAAAAGAGTTCTTAACTGTTTTAGAATTAGATATGACTTAGAGCTGCTTAAGAATGTAATTTAAAATAGTTCTTGTTTGTTTTAGAATTAGATATGACTTAGTTAATTTTTCTTTTTGATCAACAAAGCTGTTTATTTTGTCTGATTTGTTAGCGTTGGTTTTGACTGTTTTCCCTTTTCTCTCACAAAATGCTAAGGGTAAGAGGGGGCATGTTTATGGACTGGAAAGTGTCCAATACAGGGAGCAACCACCTTCTTCTCGTGTCTCTAGTGGTCTTGCCTGCAACCTGGAGATGGAGATGCATGTGGCGGGTGTTGAGGCAACCCTTAAAACTGTCACTGCTGATGTTGCTGGGGTGAAGCAGGACGTCTCTGATCTGAAGCAGGACGTGTCGTGATGCGGCAGGATGTGTATGTGATGAGAAATGCGATCAATGAGTTCCTCCAAACACTGCGCCCCCAACAAGCATCTGGATAGACTTCTGCTCAGCTTCAGGCCCCAACAACTCAGCCTTAAACTGTCAATGGCATTTAGAAGTATGTAGTTCATCCTTCTCTTTTGTAATAAAACTCAGACTTTTGGTAGTCTTCTTAGACTCTTTAGATATGTGTCTTTTGTAGAGTTTTTTAAGACTCTTTAAAACTCTTCCATTGTATAATTCTGCATGTTTTAGTAATGTTGAACCTAGTACTCTTTTATAGAATTTCAACTTCTATTTTTATTGAGTACAATTTTAAATATTTGAACGGAAATATAAATTGACAAAATTGGCAAATTAAACAATTGAAAAGAACCATTTACAAAATTGGCAATTTTTTTTTAAAAAACGTGACTTTAGCTAGCCACGAAACGAAACCGAGGCTACATAGCCACGAAAAGTTGTGGTAAAACCGTGGCTATAATAGCCACTTTAGAAACGTGGAAAAAAACCGTGGTTATACTAGCCACTATAGATAGCAACGCTTTTAAAATTAAAATCCTGACTATTATAGCCACGAAAAGTTGCGTGGTAAAACCATGGCTTTTAGCCACGCTGAGCCATAGTATTTTTCTAGCCATAAAACTATAGCCACGGTTATTTTATTTTCTAGATGTGTGGTTAGTTTTTGTATAGCCACGAATTTTTACTCTATAGCCACTAACTTGTAGTGACTATATGCTATATTTTTACCACTGTTAGGAGCAGGCTTCAATTTTTTATATTTTCCTCGTGGTTGTCTATGATGAACATACTCACTTTCCATGGAGCACTCTGCCAAAAAAGGTTCTGGTCTTCCATGAGAGTTAAGAGCAAATAAGCAAGGAGGAATTCCATGAGGTTTGTCTTCATCAAATGATGGTGAAAACGTAATCGCCTCGAGACCCATTTTCCGGTTTATTCCCTTCAACATATAAACATTATTGATTTCTTTGTGATGGAATATTTTAATTTAGATCAATTCTAAGAAAAATAGATTAGGCATTATAAATTATTTTATGATATTGTCATGTACGAGAATTCCACGTTGAGGTTATAGAAGTCATATTCTGGGCTTTAACGCAACCATTGCGTTCTTATTATTATTTTTTGATCAAACGCCTTCTTGTTGTTTAATTACTTTTTATTTCTGGCATAAAAGTATTCAGTAGATTATTTTTTGGCACCAAAGTATTGTGTAGTTAACGTGTGTTTCCCTTTCCTCAAGGTACGCTATATTAGAACACCTACAATGGGAAGTCTTTAAGAGAAATTCTTAGAGAAAAAATAATTAAATAATCAACGAATTCTACAAAAAGTTAAGGACGATCCTTAAAATTTCTTAAAAAGACTGATCCTTACTCTATTTGCGGGTCTCCACGACACATGTCAGCCGACGATTGATTGATATTTTTTTTTTTATAAATCCGAAAAAGAAAATAATAATTAAAAAATCAAAATTTAAAGACTCCTTGAGAATAACACCATTGTGGGTGCCTTTAACTATGTAAGACTATAATTAACCCACAATTTTTTAATTGAGATTTTTAGCTTCAAATAGGAGACGGTTTTTAATTTGTTTTAGAATTTAACTAAAAAAACTAAAAATCGTTTCTTAAATAAAAAATAAAAAATTATATTTTAACTGAAAAATGTTTTAAAAAAACGTCAAATCATGAATTAAGATCTCCTACTAAAAAACCCCAGATTTATCATGGTCTAAGTTTCTTATTTATCAAAAACTATTTACGTTTTTATTGTTTTCAAGGGTTCATTACCTAAGTTTCAGAAACAAAAACAAAGTTGATTACCTTATTGAAAAGGTTATTTCTTTTACTATTACGAATTTCAGTACATTGTAACACTCGGTGAAAAAACAGTCTCGGTGAACTTTGTTTCAGTTTCACTTTCTCACAACATGTGTTATTGCGTCTCACCTTGAACGGAATAATTGTTGCGTGCATGAGATATCACTATATCAGCAGCAACTGCAAAAAGCGAACCTGTTAGTTGGAGGACATTTACTTTTCTACTTTTGCAAATTTATCATATTCCTATTTTATATACATCAATAAATAAATATATAATCTCACAATATAGATTTTTATTTTGTTATAAATACATTTTAGTATCTTAATTCTATATTTTGAAATATTTTTCATCTCTAGATAACCATAAGTATATTTTCACTAGTCACTACTCCTTATATTCTAGGATATCTCTAATGGTTATTTACATTTTTTTTCTCTCAAAATGAGTTTATAATTTTGTTCTAATGATTCTTCTCATTTTTTCCCTCAAAAAGAACAATTTCAAGTATATTATGCTATTACTACTTATTATTAGTTCTAATAATGCTTATTATTTTATAAGACTTCAAAATTTATCCAAAATTTTATTTTAATTAAATTTTCATTATATACATAAGTTTAATTTCCAAAAAAGATACTAGGGTTTATATAAACTTATAATTATATTAGAAAGTATTAAAAAATTTAAAGTATGAAACATAAATATTGAGTTTTTAATAATAAAACTATAAAAAGTTAAAAACTAATTTGTAAATTAAAAATTGAACATAAAATAAAAAAATATATCAAAAATAAAGAAAATCTTCTCTATGGTGCATTTTGAGAGACAAAATGATGCACTACTAGAAATGATTTTCCATCAATTTTTAGATTATATTAACGAGTCATCTTCATTGTCACGTTCTAAAAAATATATATAAAATTTACCTTTATCTTGGAGAGAGACTTTAAAGCCAAACAAAGCAGGTAATCTTTTATCTATATTGTACCCATAAATATACATGTGCATTGATGGGAAAGTTAAAACAACACTTAAATAGAGCCAAAATCTTTCCCTAATTTAAAAAATAATAATTTACGAATTAGAATTCGAAAAGTAAATCTCACAAAAGTGATACCTGCTGACATTGTAAACATATTTTCAATAATTAATTTTACTATTAATTTACAAATTATCACATAAAACCTTAATCTGTCCTTCGACTATACGCTGTTATTTGATTTGGCATAATAGTTACCTATGATAATTTAAACGGCTGTAATAATATAAGGTAACAATCAATTAGTATAAAACTAGCATGAGTCTTGTGGCTTACGAGAGCAATTTTTTGTAAAAAAGTGGCTTGCTAAACACTCATTGTTTTGTGTGTTTAATTCGTTCAGCTAGCAATCAATTTGCCACTTATTAACCTAACCATATAAGTTTGGATATCAGTAGTAAAACGTTTATCCAAGTTAAATTAGCTAAGATTAAAAGAATGCACAAACAGAAATGACTATAAGCGAGTATTTTGGCTTTGAATGAGACTTGTGGTGATTAGTAAATAACTAGATACATACAACAGAACTGTAACACTGTTTCCAGCTCGCAACTATTTAAAAGTCTTCACTATACCAAAATAAAAATTGTTTTTTTTTAATCGTGAAAGAAAAAAAAAATAGTTAATACTATTATGTATTTTAGGAAATAATGAATGAGGGTGGAATCATGTAGGCTAATGGCTAAGCAATAGTGTGCCAGCTAGGAACCTCAAAGGGATCCAAAGAACCTCACCCAAGGGCATATCCATCATTTTAACATTCATCTTCTATTACACAACTCTTCCGTATTTAAGACACTTCAACTCTTCACATGACTTTCAAAATCTCTCTCTCATCTCTCGTGTTTTGATTTGTGTATATATAAAGATTACATATTTATTTAATTTTCTGGATCAAGAAGAGAGAAAGTTCTCCATGTTCTAATTATTTCACGAACACCCCAAGCTACAACAATGGCGGTTTATGTCGAGAAGAAACACTGGTGGCTCCGTAACAAGAAGGTTTTATGTTCTCCCCATAATTTTCAGACAAATCCCATGTGCATTGTTTTTCTTTTCGATCTGAACGAGTTCTTGTTTTTTATTTTTTTCAAGATCGTGGATAAGTACATGAAGGAAGCAAAGAATCTAATAGCGAGTCAAGATCCAAACGACGTCGAATCAGCTCTAAACCTTCTCGAATCTGCTCTCTCCCTCTCTCCTCGTTACGAACTCGCTCTCGAACTCAAAGCCAGATCGCTTCTCTACCTCCGTCGATTCAAAGACGTCGCCGATATGCTCCACGATTACATTCCGAACCTTAAATTCTCCGGCGAAGACTCCGGCATCGGTTCATCTGAATCGTCTCGAGAATCAGTCAGCCTTCTGAACGAGTTGCCGAGTCACGGCGATGGCTCGTCTTTTAAATGCTTCTCCGTCTCCGATTTGAAGAAGAAAGTCATGGCAGGGTTAAGTAAAAACTGCAACGAACAAGGGCAATGGAGGTAATTTCATTAAAAACTTTGACACGTGGATTAATGAAAATAACCCGACCCGGTTTTTGATTCGGATCTTTTAATTTCTGTTACAGATATTTAGTTCTTGGTCAAGCTTGTTGCCACCTAGGTCTAATGGAGGAGGCGATGGTTCTTCTCCAAACCGGTAAACGGTTAGCCACCGCCGCACTCCGCCGTCAAAGCATCTCCTTATCCGACGACAGCTTCATCCTCTTCTCCTCCTCCTCCTCCGACGCCGCTTCCTCCCCTCCTCCTCCCTCCTCCGCGCGATCTCTAACCGAATCCGAAAGCGTCGCTCACTTGCTATCTCACATAAAACTCCTCTTACGCCGCCGCGCCGCCGCACTCGCCGCTCTCGACGCCGGACTCTACACCGAATCAATCCGTCACTTCTCCAAGATCCTCGAAAGCCGCCGCGCCGCGCCGCAGGGATTCCTCGCCGAGTGTTTCATGCACCGCGCATCGGCGTTCAGATCCGCCGGGAGGATCGCCGAGTCCGTCGCCGATTGCAACAAGACGTTAGCGTTGGATCCGTCGTGTCTCCGAGCGTTGGAGACGAGAGCCGCGTTGTTAGAGTCCGTGCGGTGCTTCCCTGACTCGCTTCACGATTTGGAGCACTTGAAGCTTCTTTATAATTCTATTTTACGTGACCGGAAACTTCCCGGTCCGGTTTGGAAACGGCATAATGTCCGGTATAGAGAAATACCGGGGAAGCTATGCGTTTTGACGACGAGGATTCAGCAATTGAAGGAGAGGATCGCTAACGGTGAAATCGGAAACGTTGATTACTATGCTCTGATGGGAATCAGACGCGATTGCTCGAGATCGGAGCTGGATCGAGCTTACTTGTTGTTAAATTTAAAGCATAAACCGGAGAGATCAATGTCGTTTATTGACCGGTTTGAGTTAACCGAGGATGAGGAGGAATTAGATTCGGTTAAGGATCGGGCTAGGATGTCGACTTTGTTACTGTACAGGTTGATTCAGAGAGGCTACTCCGTTGTGACACGTGACCTTGCGGCGGCAGAGAAGCAGCGTAAGGAAACGCCGATTAGAGCGGGTGCGGTTGCTGCGGCGAATAGTAATAATAATGTGAATGTGGTGAAAGGAGTGTTTTGTAGAGATTTGACGGTGGTTGGGAGTTTGATTTTACGGACCGGGTTTAACCAACCGATTCCGGTTAAGTACGAAGCGCTTAGTTGCTGATTTTGTATGTACAATAGAAAAAGACGGATCACATTGGATGAAATTATGGATAATGAGAATATTGTCTGCCCGATAGTTTTTGGAGCTTTCTCTCTTGTTTGTTTCTTCTTTATTCTTCTTCTCTCTTTAACAAAAAAAAAAAAAATTAATTGGACTTCTTTTTACCTTTTAAACACGGATACAAAAGACATTATAATGATTTTACAAAAAAAATTTTAAGTCTGGAGTTTATTTGGAATAATGACACATACTTAACTGTAAACATAATAATCACTACAAGACTATCTCTCGAGAGAAAATAACAAAAAGTGAGGGGAAATATTAGAAATACCCAAAAAAATATATAAATATTTGAAATACACTAATCGTCTGGGAAGTTCTATATTTTTCACTTTTCTGTTAGTTAAAAGCTAATATTGTTTCTCAAAGTTTTGCTTATTCTTATTTCTTCCATAACTATGGCTCATATATTAATATAAAAACAGTAGTGGCAGATACATGACTTGTGAGGGAAAAACAGATCGTGGAAATTTTGAAATATTGTTTTCACATGATCTCTGTTGATACCATTAAAAGAATTATGTAGATCTAATGTACTTTCCGTTCTTATAAGAAAAAGCTTTAAAGGTAGTCTTTTTGGTTACAAGTGGAATACAGTGATATATTTTATGAAATGATACAGATTGATTCAATGATACATATTGTTGAGAAATGATAATAGTGAAAAGGTTGAAGAGATCACATTTTCTTTGATTGTTTTGTCTCTTTTGCATGAGTTGTCGTCGACTAGTTCGCATTTCCTTATTAAGTAATATATTGTTTTCATTTTTTTTGAGATCCTAAAAGACAGTGACAGTTATCGAACTCTGATTTCGCATATCCAATACATGGTCGAAATAATTTGATTTCATGAAATGTCGTATTTACAACATTTGAAACAAGTTTTTTGAACCCCCTTTAGGACTCGGTGAGTACATCATAACTAAGAACTTAGGAAATTTACGGAGCGAAAGAGTTTGTATAAGCATCTTCATCTCTATTCCATAATTTACTCAATTTTATTCAAAAATAAAGTAGAAAATAGAATAATAAATAAAAAATAAAAGCAAAATTCTATTTTAGGAATAATATTTTATCTTTTGTTCATCCTTCTATTTTTCACTTAACTTTAGAGTAAATTATGAAGTAGAACTGAGATACTCTAACAATAAATCTTGTAGACTCTTTAAAAATGCCAAAATCATTATACTTTTTGAATTTCGACGACGTGTTTTCTTGTTTATACGTTCAAAGGTAGTTATAAAAATTTAGCTATAAAATTTTAGTTGTAGGTAAGTTGGCTGTAACCGTAAAATTGTTACAGTATATTTTTTATAGAAACTTTTGCTATAGTTAAATTTGATGTAGCTGTAAATTATAGGCTGTAGATATTTTAAAATAAATTATGTGAAATATGTGATGTATATATAGAACAATTAGTTTTATCAATTAAAACAATTTATATTAATATTTTAAAATAAATTATCAAAATTTATTTAAAAGGTGATATATAAATAATATTTCTATTTTTAATATGTTAATAATTTAAAAACCACAAAAATAAATTAGTACATTTAAAAAATTTTTATTATGATTAAATAATTCATTTGATATTATAGATAATTTTTTTTTTCATTTGACAGATTCTACAGTCTAAAAAGAAGGATATATAATTTTTACCTAAAATACAATAGAAAAAAAATTGCTTTAGTTTTTTTGCTCTAACTCAAAAATAAAGATAACACATGATTGGTAAAAACTAGTAGAAACATGATGTAGATTTTAACTTTTAAAAATAAAGCTACAACATGGTAAACACTGGTGATTTACAAATAAATAAAGTTAAGTAGAGAGATAAATCTCAACCAATCACTCTCATATACTAGGTGTTTACCCACACATACAGACATAATTTGGTTTACGAATACTTATTATTTTATGTTTTATTAATTTAAAAATCACTATAATAAATTATTATTTGTATTTTCAAAAAACAATAATCAAACTTTGAATTAGTTATAAATGACGACACTCGCATATCAGAAATATTTTAGAAAATATATTTATACAAATGTTATTTCTTGATTTATAATTTTTTATATATTAATTTTTAAATTTTATAATAGAAAATATAATTTCAAAAAAAAAACATAAAGAATAATAATTATCTTATTTTTTAAAATATAATATTATTAATCAAAATTTAATTTAATTAGGGAAATTATCTCAAATAGACATTTTTAAGTTTTTATCACAAAATAGACCTCAAAAACTAAAATTCCCAAAATAGCATTTTTATTTTGAAAATTTTAAGTTTTTCTTTTGTATTTTTCAAAATTTGAAATCCGATCCCCAAAACCCCACTTCTCAATTCTAAATAAAAATGTCTAGAATTAGTTAACCCAAGCGGTACATATAAGTATATTTTTACTTATTTTTGATAAAACATTTAAGTCTATTTTTGTCATTTTTATTTTTAAGATCTATATTTGTGACAAACGTTTTTAGATCTATCCAAGGGAATTTATCTTTTAATTATATAATACATTATATACAAAATTATTAAAAACATGACAAATAAGAAAATTTACCTAAAATCATTGAGAAGTTAACAAATCAACAAATTTACTTCTCAAATAATACACATAGTTAAATTTTATGTTATATATTTTCAAGATAACAACATAATACATAAGAATTATCTTAATAAAAAATAATATTATTAATATAAATTTGTTTTAATTATTTAATAAATTATATATGAAATTACTAAAGTATGATAAATAATATAAATTACCTAAATTCATGGAGAATTTGACAAATCAACAAATTTACTATATTCACATATCATAAATATTATAGAAAATCCATTTATACAAATACTTTTGCTTGATTATAATTAATTATAATTTGTATGTCTTAATTTTTTAAATTTTTTAATAGAACATATATTTTAAGATAACAACAAAAAGAATAAGATAATAAGAATTATCTTACTTTCTAAAATATAATATTATTAACGTAAATTCTTTTTAATTATATCATAAATTATATATATTCTAAAAATATGAAAAATAAGTAAATTACTTAAAATTACAGAGAAGTTAATAAATAATATTATTTACTTCTCAAATAGAACTATAGTTAAATTTTATAATAGAAATATATAATATTGCATATACAATAACCAATAATTATATTAAACTAACCTCCCTAAACTTATGGTACGATTATATATACAGTATCTTAACAATTAATTTAAAATTGATATTTTCTGAACAAATCACTAATATCTTGACATAATATAACATCACGTGTTTTGGTTTCTCTTTTTTTTTCCCGTCATTTGGAGTGTTGTTTATATACAAGGAACTAAAAGGTTGCGACGCATATCACATTACGCATATCACATTTAATTACTATATACATTTTCATTTCTATTAAAATATATCGATACACTCCTTTCATTATTTTGGTTTATCAAATTTACATAATATCTTAAATGCAGTAAATAATAAATACTCACCGAGATTTTTCACCCAAATAAAAAAGTAAGTAAAATCTACTATATCATTTGTATTTAAATTTTATATATTTACAAAGGATATCATTCCAAAAATAATTTTGTATCTACATTTTAACATATGTCTATGCATACTGTTATTTCTTAGACCATCATATTTAGGTGAAAATCATGATGACAAATAACATAAGGGGTTGTAACTTTGAAACTAAAATTATCTAATGTCTTATATATATATCCTAGTTATTATAAATAGTGATATAAAATGTAACTATTGTCATCTATAACAAACACACAATTTTTTTAAAAATGTTAAATCATACAAACATATATCTAATTTCATATAAAATATAAAAACAAAAAGTAAAATTTGTAAAACAGGTTGGAAATTTGAAAAAGTGATGTATTAGATATAATGTATATTTAAAATAAATAAAATATACAAATGATATAGTAGAAATTAAGATAGTATAAAAATAGTTTTCATTTTGTATGATCGTAACAAACTAAACATGTTATATTTTAAAAACAATTAAAGTGTTCCATGTTATATCATAAAGAAGGTAAACAACAGACTGAACTACAAATATAAGAAAATTTTAAAAATAAATAAAAAAATATTAAAATAATTCTATCCTCGAAAAGAACGGATTAAAATATAGTGTAGTTCTTAAAGTTGAGTAACCCATCTCCAATAATAGTTTGTCACAACTCCATATCAAGTAGGCTATGAAATGTATTTTAGTCCATGTTATACGTACATTACATGGTCCATACTATAGCCATCTAATCATATGACTATATAACTAATTAATAAAAATATGGATATTAATGTCAATCTCTAATTTTATCAGGCAAAAATAGTATTCAGTTGATTAAAAATATTAGTAAATACTTTATTAGTTAATTGGTTAGTATATCTTCATCACACTCACTATCATTACTGTTAGTATTTGACTTTGATCTGCTTTTTTTCTTAACCGTATTTTATGTTAATGGAAGAGTCCAAATTAATTTATAAGAGAATTATAATTTTTTTATCTGGATATGCAAATATGGAAGAGTCCAAATTAATTTATAAAAGAATTATAATTTTTTTTATCTGGATATGTAAATGAGTCCTAAAACATGAATTCATATTTGTGTAGATGTCCCTGAGTAGTGAACTTAGCTTTAGATCGCACATGAAACGTGTTACCGTCCAACTCCTTTCCCTTGGCATCCGAACATATTGGCCCGGACTATCTGCTTTCTAGTTAAAATTATTCCACTTGTTCACCTATCAACTTATCTTGAAACACATTTTTCATTAGAACAAAACATCCAACTGAAAATAGTCAAATGTCAAAATCCATCCAATTTGGTAGTTGGTAAAAGTAAAAGATTTGTTGTTGTGTCAACATAAAAATAGAAAGATTGTATAAAATTGGCAGAGCAGAAGGGTTTTGAAACAAAACAACAAAAAAATTAACAGAAGTCTAATCAATCGCACTTAAAACGAAGAAACTAGCAAAGGACAAAACTTTCTTCTCCTCCACATGACATTTCGAAAGGTACATGAATGTG